ATCCCACCAAATACACAACATGAGTTTTTTCCCATGAATGTTCGGCTTGGCTGTCGATGTTGAAGCATGGCCAGGTGGTCCCCATGATTTCTTCTTCTTTGGGTTATCGTAGTGGATCCATTTTTCATCACCAGTGACTACACGGTGCAAAAACCCTTTCGTTTATGCCTGGCAAGCAGCATGCTTTCACATGTGAAAAATCGGCGTTCAACGTTTCTCGGCTTCAGTTCATATGGAACCCAATTTCCTTGCTTTTGAATCATTCCCAACGATTTTTAGCAATGTGAAATTGCAATTGGTTGAGTCACTCCTAATGTAAGTGCAAGTGCTTCTTGCGTTTGGCACGAATCTTCATCCAATTATGCTTCCACGTCTTCGTACACTTTCGGCATTCCGCTACGTTCTTTGTCTTCGACGTCAAATTCACCGTTCTTAAACTTTTTTGAAACCACTCACGGCAACTTCTCTCACTTAAGGCAGCCTCACCATATGCTTCTACAAGCAATCGATGCGCCTCAGCTGCAGATTTCTTCACATTAAAGAAGTAAATCAAAAGCTCCCGCAAATGATGCTTATTCGGCTCAAAACTCGACATTTTCGCACGAAAAAAGATATAAGATGCTGATGCAAAATCGCTAATATTTCAAGATTATGTTCTTGCCAGATGTCCAACCTTACGATATGACGTTTTACAGCTGACAATTTTAACTATAACATACTGGTAGCGCCTTTGTTTGTCAAACGGCGGAAACTTATTTATACTCCCAATAAATTCATAGTTTACTATGTTATTACATCGAGATCTAGCAGCGCTAAGTATTTTTACATAAACAATTTTTTTTTAAATTAAATTTTTTCGTTTTATACGGTTAACTCTTTAATTTTTTATGATAACACTTAAATTGAGCAAGGTAACGCCATTTTGTGATAATGTTTTGTATAATATTTTGAAGGAAAATTAAATAATAACTACACTACTTTAGTTGGAAGAGAAAATGTCTTTGAATGAATTGTGATATAATAATTTCATTTAAGAGGAATTTAAACCATTTGGATTGGAATAGGAAGATCCTTTAACAAGA